ATTGAATTCTTTCCATACGTGATCAAGTACAAGCAGGGCAAAGAAAATGTAGTTGCTGATGCCCTATCTCGAAGGCATTTGTTGATCACGACAATGGGGGTGAAGTATTTGGGTTTCGAGCATATCAAGGAGCTCTATTCTGATGATGCTGACTTTGGGGAGATCTATAGAGCTTGTGAACAACATGGCGATGGGAAGTTCTATCGAAGTGATGGCTACTTGTTTCGAGCTAACCAGTTGTGTATTCCTCGATCATCACTTCAAGATTTGTTGTTGAAAGAGGCTCATGGAGGAGGCTTAATGGCACATTTCGGTGTAGACAAGACGCTGAGTTGTCTACAAGAGCACTTCTATTGGCCGCACATGAAGGGAGACGTGGAAAATCTATGTGCGAGGTGTGTGGAGTGCAAGCAGGCCAAGTCGAAGGTGCAATCGTCTGGATTGTACACACCACTGCCGATTCCATATGCTCCATGGATCGATATTTCTATGGACTTTGTGCTTGGTTTGCCACGGAAAAGGAAGGGAAGAGATTCGATTTTTGTGGTGGTGGATCGGTTCTCGAAGATGGCACACTTTATCTCGTGTCATAAGACGGATGATGCTATTAACGTGGCTGATTTGTTTTTCAGGGAAGTGGTGCAATTACATGGGATGCCTCGTTCTATAGTATCCGATCGAGATACTAAGTTTCTGAGTTCCTTTTGGAAGATGTTGTGGAGCAAACTGGGGACAAAGCTGCTGTTCTCTACCACATGTCATCCTCAAACCGATGGGCAAACAGAGGTTGTCAATCGAACTCTGTCCCAGATGCTGCGAGCTGTGCAATCAGGAGCAACATCAAGGTTTGGGAGGACTGCCTTCCCCACGTGGAGTTTTCTTACAACAGGATGGTGCACTCGACGACGAAGTTCACTCCGTTTGAGCTCGTGTATGGTTTCAATCGACTCACTGATTTGGATTTGATGCCATTACCTTTGAATGAGCAGGTCAATCTCGATGGAGCCAAGAAAGCTGAGTTCGTGAAGAGTTTACATGAGAAGGCGAGATTGAACATTGAGAGAAGGACGGAGCAGATCATGCGCAATGTGAACAAAAATAGGAAACCGAGGCACTTTGAAGTTGGCGACTGGGTGTGGGTGCATTTGAGGAAGGAGAGGTTTCCCCAGCAGAGGAAATCAAAGTTGATGCCCCGATGTGATGGTCCTTTTCAGGTGGTTTCTAAGATTGGAAGCAACGCCTACAAGATCGACTTGCCGGGAGAGTATGGAGTAAGTGCAATGTTTAATGTTTCTGACCTTGCACCTTATTTGGATGGCAATTCGGATTTGAGGGCAAATCCTTTTGAAGAAGGAGGGGCTAATGAGGACATCAATAGGCCAGTCACACGTGCTAAGGCAAGGACGTTGAAGGAGAAGCTTGCGACATATTTGGAGAGCTACTTTGGAGCCATGGACGTGGAGCTATTTTGAGGGAAGCCATATATGATGATTCGAGTGGAGGAAGAAGGAGGAAGTGCTGAAGAGAAGGCAGATTGCAAGAAGCATCCTTAACGGGTTTGCTTAACGGGTCCAGCCTTAACGGTTTGGGGTTAACGAGTCCAGGCTTAACGGGTTTGATGGGCTATTTCCGAGTTTCATGTTTTAAAGTCGGTTTATGATTATTTTTCCATGTTGGAGTCGGATTTGGGTTGTACTTTGCCTATTTAAAGGGCTAAACATGTTGGTTTGCCCTTAGACAATTATTATTGAATTTCAGAGGCTATTGTCGAGTTCCCTACGCGGAATTTGCCCTAATTACTCTGTCGAGAATCTCCCGAGTGCTAGAGCGACTCTTATCAGCTAGGTATTCACCCTGGTTGTGGCGAGCTACCCATATCGATTGCCCTTTATTCCGAGTTGAACATGTCCAATCGATTCATATATCGATTGCCCTTATTCAAGGGTGAGTACTGTCCGATCGATTTCCATCCTATCCGGTTCTGTTTGGTTCGAGAAGCTTGACCCTGCGCAACTTTGATTATATCAGTTATCCAAAACTTGAGATTTGAGGGCTCCAAGTACTAATGTGTGCATGATCATATTGGCACTGTGGGTTTAATTGGTGAATTGAATGGCTTTAGAATTGATGCATGACAACTGAATTGTGACTAGGACAACCTATAATGATGACCGAGACGTGCAGTAGAGTTGTGTAGGGGTTCAGTTTTTCAATTGTTTGCTTTCCAACTATGACTTGGCTTGATCACTTGCTCTTGACAGTCGTTTATGCATCTAGTTCAGGGAATCGGAATGAGAGATAGAGCATATAGGTAACCATGTGAGATTTGAGCCTGCTCGTTTCTTTCTTGTGCGATAGATCCCTCTTCTATGATGTGTAGCATTCACGTTGTTATTAGCTAAGATGATGGAGGCATAGGAATAGCCCACGACCAAATTGACTGTCCTGGTGTGTCATACCCCCTAGTCAACCCCTTTGAGCCGTGTAATTTCCTTTCTTTCAGTCTACAATGGAAAATCACCCTTTCACATCTCTTAGAAGGTTCCACAGAGTGGTTTTTGCTTGTTCTCTACTGCTTCTGCTAAAAATAATGTGAGGGTTTGAGGTAGTGCTTAAAAGTTGGAAATGTGTTTGAAAAATGTGCAGAGGTGGTGGTTCTCTCAAGAAATGAAAAAAAAAGAAGAAAAAAAAGATGAATGAAAGCAAAAGAGAGTCACTACCAAAAATCCGAATCATGCTCATTAAGTAGTGTTTCTTAGCAGTCTAGCTTAGAAATACTAACATTATTGTGACCTCCTTCGCTCTTGTGCTCTACAGAATTTGAGTAATGCAGAATGACAGAAATAAAGTAACGGGTTTGATTGGTTGTGAATGTGTTGGGTTTGGAACTGTGGAACCTTGTGCTATGAATACTTCCACCACCTAAAAGGCTTTTCCCCCCATATCCAAGACCCTAGCCAGTCACTTGAACCTGTGTCTAAGACCTTCGGATTAGTTAGTGGTGACATCCCTCGTGTGAATGAACTCTAACATTTAGAAGTTGCCATCATGGTGAAGAGACATTAGGATTTGAGAGAATAAGCATGCGCATTTTTTTTGCATCAAATTGTCCTGACCCCACTGGTCGAGAGTGAGCGATTCATTTCCTTGTTCTTTATGCTCTTTACCCCGATGAGGACCTATATGGCTCGGTCTTGATTATGATGTCTTGAGTTTGATGCATGCAATGATTGTCTTGGTTAAGTATTTGAGTCGATTCTATGTTGGTTGGTGAACATAAAGGATTCCTCTTCCTTTACCCGATTTTGCTGCACTCGAATGTCCTCTGTGGTGGTTGTCTAGGTTGCTGTTGAGTTGTCCATATGTCAATGATCAAAAGCCAGTATGATTCACGTGTTCTGTGCCTATATGAAATGTCCCCAAAGTTGGTATGATTGAAATGTGTTGAGCTAACCTTGTATCTGACTTGGTTTGCTTGGGGACAAGCAAACGGTTAAGTGTGGTGGAATTTGATGACTTGATATATACACATATTTTTTTTCCACTATTCTTATACCATTTGAGCTTTATTTCTCGTATCTTAGGACGATTTCACGCTAGGTTGTTCTTGTTTGTAATATTTCAGGTCCTAGTACGTGAATGGAGGTTTGGGAACGAGTTCGGGGTCGATTGGACGAAGGTTGGACGTTTGGCGAGAAGCTGAGGAAACCACACGACCAGACCTAGCAGCCACACGGCCGTGTGGCGTGGCCGTGTACCGGGTCCCTTGAGGCCGTGTGGGAAATCACAGAGATGTCACACGGGCAGGCTGAGATTTCACACGGCCGTGCAGTTCTGGCCGTGTGACGTGCATGAAATCACTTAAGTGAAACGCGACGTTTTCACCTCCACACGGGCAGCTGGGATTTCTACACGGCCGCGTGGTCGGGAAATTCTGGGTTTTAACCCAATTTCAGGTCTTTTGGAGAGGGATCAAGTTTTTGAGCAAAAAACAGAGCCTTAGAGAGAGAAAGCGCGAAGAACAAACCCTAGAAGCTATTTGGAGTGGATTTCTCATCATTGAAACCCATACTGCATCCCCAGGAGTGAAGATCGACATCCCATAGCAGATTATCCCCATCTTTATGAGTATGAATGCTCTGATTTCTATTTTCCTCTCTCTCTCTCTATGGAGTAGAACCTTTTCTCACTTGGGTATGAAGAACCCTAGTTCCATGCGTTAGGAATCTTGATTGTAATGACTTGGGATTGATATACTGATTGATTTTAATTAATTGATGCATGATTCATTAAGTCAATTGAAGCCTGATCATCTTTTCTTGATTTCTGCTGAAACCTGAGATAAATAGAATCTGATTAGGTTGTTCTATGCTTACTGCCTCAGTAGTGGAGTTCTGTGCTTATTGCCTCAGCAGTTTATCCTGGTGAAGGCTAGTCGCCTGCCGGTTAGTCTGCCTGAGAGGGTTTGGTCAGCTTAAGAGACTCAAAGCTACTGTCGGATCTTCCGCAGTTTAATCAATAGTTAATCAACCCAGGGTAATTACAACCTTGACCTAACTAAGGAGCTAGGGGGACTCATTCCCGAGTGACTCTTCCCTTGCTAAGAACTTTGAACCATTTCCTGCTTTCATGCTGCTTTTGCTTAAAATCACAATCACTCTACTTAGTTTGCTAGATAATAGATAATCACGGAGTAGACAATAGATCTAGACCCCAGGTTGACAAATAGAACTTGCCACTAGTCAGCATTTCCGGAATGCGATTACACTTGGTCGCAGTTTAGTGTTGTATTTTAGCGTGTCAGTCACCATTTTATCTCTCTCTCTCTCTCTCATCCATACTCTTCTTAGCTAGAAACTCCAGACCCTCAATTTCCCCCCACCACTTTCTCAAAGAAGGAAAGAGGCTCTAAAGCGGAGTCAGTAGTGGGACAAGCTCGATTCCCCTAAAATCGGGCCGACGACGTTCTCTTCCGCGATCAGAACAAGATCCCCCAAGTCATGGCTCGTCAACGAAATCACCCATCGAGAGTCGAATGGTATTGTTCGTTCATAGCCCAAGATCCATATTCCTTCTTCATTGCTCTCCCTCCCGCCTTCTTCCTCGGTAGGGTCTACGCCCAGATCTGCTATCAATTTCTGGACAAGACAAGGAACTTTCAATTGGGCAGCTCTTTCTCCTCCTCCGGTAAATCTCCTTCTCCAGTACTGAAATCCACAACTGCATCGTCGACACGTGCTGCGGCGTCTTTAGACTCGATCCCTCGATCGAAGAAGCATCCACAGATTTCAACCCTTCTGAGAGCTTCTTAGGGATTTTTTTGGTTTTGTTCGAAGAAGGGAAGAGACGAGGGGATAAGGTGTGGGTGGCGGAATTTTTTTTTTGCATTCTTTTAATTAGGTAAAGAAAATAATAAAAGAAAATTGAAATTCGATTTTTTTTCTTTGATGCTGACATGGCGGTGACCTAGACAGTTGACTAACGGTCAATGGTGTTGACCTTCCAAACAAACGGTCAAACCACGCTTCCGGCCAAGTGAGTCTATATGCTGCAAAGTTCAGGGCAGGATGTTAATTTCGCAAAACACGGACCAAAGTTGATTATATGGTTATAGTTCGGGCTAGAATAAGGTATTAACCCTTTTCTTTATTATTACTGTAGTATTATGTGAAATTTGTTTAGCAACTTGTCCATTTTGAGGAAAAAGAAATCTTGCCATATGTATTGTTAACTCATAAATCATAATGAGCAATTAAACAACTAAACTTGTTATCCTACGTAAATAAATCGGATGATCAAACCACTTATGAAGAACATATCCGGTTCAAGTAAATAAATATGATGCACGAGGTGGAGCAATTCTTAGAGAGGTTCATAGTCTTTTATTTCTTTTACTCTTGGTTCATTTCACCTAAATTTTTCGAAATGCGAATAGGGCTACCCATTCAGTGGCACGAAATGCTCTCCACTATCCTGGATTTCATTATTGTTTTTCTGATTTTATGTATCTTTTTTATTTTTAAGTTTGTGGAAGTATATTCTCTTTGTAGTACCTCACCTTTAACTCATTTTTCGAAATGATAATTAAAAAAAAAACAACTTATGAAGAATTATTTGGAAAGAACCCTAGTCAAGAAGCACCTCCAAGGGGCTCCAATGAGAAAGCGCCACATCGGACAGTCCTCACTGAAACTACGAAATGCCGTTTCTTCATTGCATCCAAACTCCAAAGACAGAGACGTACGGGAAAAGCGCTTTTCTTAATCTCTATGCTATCAGTATCAGCAGATCAGAAGCGACGCAGCAGCGTAACATTGGCTGCCAGACATAGAAAATCAGGGCTCAACAGCTCTCGATTCTCTCTACTCTGATTGAACTCAACTGAGTAACCCACCACTCACTCCCTCCCCGTACCTGCTTCTGGTTGTTCTCTTCGTCCCCGTTCGCCGCCGGTTCTCGTTGCCCAGGTTAGTGGCTCGCCGTTTGGATTTTCCCTTCCGACTGGGGCTTTTGGGTTTTAATTTTGGTTTCCATTTCTCTCCCTTTCAGGGGGGTCGTTGGTTAGGGGTTTTGTAGTCATGGGCTCGGTCGCCGGCAGTAAATGGGACGACGACGACGGCGAGTATTCCGTAATCGGGGATAAAGGCGAAATTGGGTTCATCGATTATCAGGAAGAAAAATCCGTCTGCAATTACGATCCAACGGGGGATGGTCCCGTCGCGATCTCCTTCCCATTCCGCGTGCAGGACGGGAAGCCGCAGTCGGTTTCGGTGGGAGAAACGGCCGCCGCTCCCATCACCATTAGGAACTCCACTGACGAAGCCGTCGAGCTGTGGGCCAAAATCTACGCCTCTACTCCGGTGGATTCCTTCCAGCTCTCCTTGATGAAGCCGCCTCCCTCCACCGGAAATGCTGCTGCCGGCGGTTTCCTCGGGTGTTTTGCTCTCGAGGATAGAATGATCCAGCCCGGCGAGACGTTGACCTTGTGGCTGTCCTGCAAGCCACAGGAGATCGGAATGTACACTTCCGTCGTCCATTTCGACGTGTTGGGTGACAGGATTGAGAGGGTGGGGTTCATCCTGGCGGAGGATAAGATATCCCAGTCCTTGGCTTCCAGGAAGCCATACTCGAGAACCGTGAAGAAGAATCACTATGCCGTTACTGAATTCGTTAAGGGCACGAATCCTAGGAGGGCGCCGGGCAGACCGGTGAAGAAGAGGCTTCCTAGGTATGACATTCCAAAGGAGACGAGAGAAAAGATTGAGAACAAGGAGATACCTGAAGAGATTACATCAGGTCTAAGTAGAGAGAACTATGCTGAGTACTTCAAGACTCTGTTGATCATGGAAGAAATACAGTTGGAGGTAACTTGTGTGTTGTGTTGAAGTTTCTGGTTTGTTTGAATGGACGGATTTCGTCTGAGTTGAAGCTGTTATGCCTTTGTTGGTTGGTTTCAGGAGGATATGAGGGCTTACGATATGGAGCGGGTTGTAATGAAGAAAAGAGGGAACTTTCTTTCGCTCATGGTGCCAGGGCTTGCTGAGAGAAGGCCTTCTCTCGTCCATGGAGATTATATATTTGCAAATCCTGCGAAGTCGGATGATTCTATTGTCCCTTATCAGGTCTGGTGCCAGCATATGTATATGTTCGCTGTTAATAGTCTTGATGATTTGAATTGTCAAATGTTTGTCCATGAATGGCTTCTGTGAAATCACTCGTTGACACAAATGGTTGCATTCTCTGCAGGGATTTGTTCACCGTGTTCAGGCTGATGAAGTGTATTTACAGTTCAACACAGAGTTTCACTTGAGCCACATGAACGGGAATCTGTATGATGTGCACTTCACTTATAACAGAGTCAATATGAGGAGACAGTACCAAGCCATTGATTCAGCTCGAGATTTGGATACCGAGATCCTATTCCCATCTGAGGCCCATGAACATAGGCTTATTCAACCGAAGTCTCTGATTCCGATAGCAAAAAATATCAACGAAGAGCAGAAGTCTTCGATAGAGATGATTCTCGGGTGTACAGGAGGTCCTCCATACGTCATATATGGTCCACCAGGTACAGGCAAAACCATGACCTTAGTGGAAGCGATACTTCAGCTTTATAGGAACAGGAGGAATGCTCGGATTCTTGTGTGTGCGCCCTCAAACAGTGCAGCAGACCATTTGCTGGATAAGCTTCTCTCCGAGGAGGATGTCAGTGTTCGTGAGAACGAGATATTTCGGCTGAATGCAACTGCCCGTTCGTTTGAGGAGGTTAAACAAGATCACATACGGTTTTGTTTTTTTGATGACAACGTCTTCAAGTGTCCTCCATTCAGTGCCCTCTCTCGCTACAGGATCATCATATCGACATATATGAGTGCTAGTCTTCTTTACTCTGAAGGGATTGATCGAGGTCATTTCTCCCACATTTTCTTGGACGAGGCGGGGCAGGCTTCAGAACCAGAGAGCATGATTCCAATATCCAACCTTTGCCAGAGGAATACGGTTGTTGTTCTTGCTGGAGATCCAATGCAATTGGGTCCGGTGATACTCTCCAGAGATGCCGAATCATTTGGACTTGCCAAGTCATACTTGGAGAGGCTTTTCGAATGTGAATCTTATCTGGAAGGAGATGAAAACTACGTGACAAAGCTTGTTAGGAACTACCGCTGCCATCCAGAAATTCTGTATCTGCCTTCAAAGCTATTCTACAGTGGAGAGTTGGTGGCTTGCAAAGATTCTACTGAAAGTTCAACTTCTTTGCTAAAACTGTTGAATTTTATACCGGGCAATGACTTTCCTACAATCTTCTTTGGTATCCAAGGGCTTGATGAAAGGGAAGGAAGTAACCCGTCATGGTTTAACCGAATTGAAGCAAGCAAGGTAGTTGAGGTGATCAAGAAGCTGACGACTTGTGGAGATCTGAGTGAGGTTGATATTGGAGTGATTACTCCTTACAGGCAGCAAGTTCTGAAGATAAAGAAGGTCCTGGATGACTTGGATATGGCAGATGTTAAGGTTGGAAGCGTTGAACAGTTTCAGGGGCAGGAAAAGCAAGTCATTATAGTGTCTACTGTTCGGTCGACGATTGTGCACAATGACTTTGACAAGGTCCACTATTTGGGATTCTTGAGCAATCCAAGGAGGTTCAATGTGGCAATAACCCGTGCTATATCTTTACTTATCCTTATTGGAAACCCACATATCATCAGCAAGGTATTTACCCGATTTCTTTTGGCCATTCATGAATCATTGGTCTTAATGCAAGAGGCATGGCTAAGTTTTTTCTTCTTTTTGGCTTCTGGGTATTTATGCATCAACATGCTAAAGTGATGTACTATCAGGGTTTTCCCGGCATAGTCTTGGCGTGTTAATGTGCTGAGAATGCTGTGCCCTTTTGGCTCTAAATATGGTTTAGTTAAGCTGAGGTTGCAACAGTTGGTAAGTGAAACTGTTGAAACTATTGTTGCAGGATGAGTACTGGAATATGCTATTATGGCGCTGCTCAGACCATGAGTCCTACAAAGGTTGTGCCCTTCCAGAAAGGCAGGATTTCAGTGATGGATATGGAGTGCAGGAGAATGGTGGTGACTATGGCGAAGGAAATAACCATCTGGCCTCAGGAGAAGAAGGCGAATGGGGTCAAGATTCGTCATTCCAGGCTAATACTCGAGCAGCGGATGTAGGTGCATGGGTTCAAGACTCGTGTCAGGCCAATGCTCAAGTTCCTGGGACAGACGAAGCTGAATGGTCTGATGGTTGGAAGTAATCCAGTAATACTGGGTTCTAACCTATGTACTTAGGACAGTAATCTATATCTAGTTCTATTCAGAACCCGTGTTAACCCCCCATTCCCCCAGTAAGTCTATACTCATTATCACCCTACAACCGAGAATCAAGCTGGCTAGGAAGTTTGTATTGTCATTCACATGGGAAAACACTAAAACTTGTGGAATTTATTCAGCGTTCTTTAGTTGATTCCAAAGAATGTGCAGACCTTTATTTGCAAAAGAGTATGTGAAAAAGACAGATGATGCAATGATCAGGATATACAAATGTTGTTTCAGGAAGTAGTAGGTATGTACTGCAGACATTACATGTAAACAGAGTGCCACCAATTATTAAGAAACAGGTGGGTCATACTCATCCTGGTAGAGCATTAGATGAGTGATGATAGTAGAAATGGAAGAAGGGCTGCTGCTACCTGGAGAAACCAAGTCCTGATGGAGCCAAGTTCTGCAGCTATTGAAACATCTTGGTATCTTGAATAATCTGTATCCAGGACTGGAGGAGGACTAGCAGCAGCAGTTGATGATGGAGGGGAATGCTTGCCAGATTCAGCAAGTGGGGTCACTGGTGGAGCAGGTGGAGCCACTAGACGATGTGTCCTATTGAGAGGAACTGCAGGAAGTTCGATCAAACGATATAATACTATAGTATACAGACATGGAAGAACAATGTATATCAGGTTTTGTTGTTTACTAGATACAAGGGGAGCTTGCGCAGATTCAGTGGGTGGACTCATTGCAGCAGATGTATCATTATCATAACCTGCAAAAGTATTTGCGTAAATGGTAAATATTCCATAGGCTGAATTGGTAAGATCTTGATTCTAAACTCTAAGGCTTAATTAATTTACCAGAATCAGAAGGTCTCGGCTCTCTTAATGAATCGTGCGAGCTGGGAACAGGAGGCAAAGCTGCAGAAAACACAACAATTCCGCTTCTTTCAATTGTTAAAGATCTTAGATGAGGAAACGAGGACGCTTCCCAATCCCACATCACGACGTCGTATATACTGATTTTTGCCATTTACAAGCTTGCGTTCTTTCCAAAGATAAAATGAACTAGCCTGTGCTCTACTCAGCGTTTCTCTAATGGCGCGAAAATCACAAGATATCGGTGGACTAACAACCACTAGTTCATTCACAGTTCAAGAAATTGCGAATTCAGCTATTGAAGATCATCATCGCTACGCTATTGAGAATCCAGAAATTGCGAATTCAGCTACTGATCATCATCAATTCATCATCGCTACGTTATTGAACATCAAGATATTGCGAAATTCAGCTACTGATCATCATCGCTACGCTACTCAGAATTCAGATCCGCATCTTCGGTCCAGTACTCGATTCAAGAACGGTTTCCAAGAAAACGAACCTGCGCAGATCGACTCCAGAGAGGAATCGAGCTTGGCCACCGCGGCGGAGCTGTCGTTCGCGTGACGCCTGGAGCAGAGAGCAGGGAGAGACGCGATCCTGGTGCGGTTCAACGGGAATCCAAACAGCAGCGGCTGCTTCACCAATTGACAGTAGCATTTGCTGCCGCCGGTGCTGAACGACTCCAAGACGACGCTGCAGCACTTAGCGGAGAGTCGGTGGCGGCGGACTCCGTTCGGCGGCGCGGAAACGTAGCCGAAGCACGGCGAGAAAGCCACCATGTCGGTGACGCAGTCTTCCGGCGACGGCGTGGATGGAGCGACCGCGGCGGCGGCGTTGGCGTTTGCGGCAAGGAGAAGTAAGAGCGCCGTAGCGAAAATCCGCGCAAAACCGGTAGTCATCTGGTGAGAGAAAGACGGAGGTAGAGAAAAAAGGAAGTGAGAAGAGAGGGAAATTATGTTCTGGCGAGTAGTGAACTCTGACTCTCTGAGTCACTCAGGTTGGTTACTGTTGACTCGCCGGAGAGATCTTTTTTTTATAGCGATGGCAGGGGACAGCAGAAGGCGGGAAAATCCCTGAAGTTTGTTGGGCCCCAACGACACCGTTTGGAGTAGAATTATCTCTGTGCCTTCCATTGTTAGAGAACTCAAAGGAAGAGATTATCAAACGAGGAACCCAGCAACAAGCACAAGCAGTTGAATCCTGACTTCACAGCCTTGTTGAGGACTTGGCAGCACGAATCTTCGATGGAAAACGGGCCATTCAAGTGCCTGAAACACGGGGCCAGGTCCATTTCCCGGATGGAGCAGCATTTGATTTGGTTGCTCAGTACTGTTGGAGTTAAGAAGGCACGCCATTTTTGTCACAGCTACCAGATAGCCACTGAAGTTGTAAGTAGTGGTTATTTTTGTTCTGTAATTACGTCAAAATGAAGTAGAAAATTGTGTATGCATAGTTTCGGCAACCTAGGTACGTGTTAATTCATACGAATCTCGCTGTTTCGAACATCTTTGTATGGTTTTGGGGTAAGGGTTTTTGGTTACCTAATTGAATTTAATCTGGTTGGAAGGAGTAGATGATAGTTCTCATGCAATTAGGACAAGGAATATAATGAAGTTTAATGTTCTTAGTTTATTATAAATCCATAGATATGTTACAGCAATAAATAATCACTATGGCTTCATAAACAATCCCCTAATTGGAAAAAGAACTCAATCGTTTCCCCAAAATACAATATACCAAATACAGAACAGAAACCCACAAAAGAATACTTCCCATATAAACATGGAAACAAGCCAAAACTCAGAAGCAATGCAAGTAGAGCAGCAGAATCTAGCTAGTAGAACTTGCCGAGTACAAATCCTAGTGCAAGCACCACAAGAGATGGAGAGAAGCTGTAAGAGGCTGCTGCTGAAGTGTTAATGGTTGGCCTGCTTCCAGTTGTTGATGTTGGTGGAGTCAGGTCAGGCGTTGTAGTTCCTGAATCTGGCGTCTCAGGAACAACCGAGCCTAAAAAAAGAGAAACAAAAACCCTCTTAGATGTTTAGCATCAAATCGATCCAACTGTCATCGCGAATCGCTTGATTAGAATGTCAATGAACAGAGTTGGTCTCTCACTTGTAGGTGCGTCGGATGGAGAACCACCAGGAGCCAGAGAGGGTCCCAGGGCTGGAGCAGGAACTGGAGCACCAGCAGCAGCTGCATACCAAGAGATACACATACACAACAGAAAGAACAAAATCATTAGTACCCTTTTCCTAGAGAACTCCATCAATCTACATACGAAAAATTCGATTGGATTGTGTTGCTAAGAAGTGGTAACCTTTGCACTGGACAGGGACGCCAGGCATGTTGCAGGCGCGAGGGAGCGAGATGGCTAGGGTTCTGTTGATCGGAATCTGGAAAGGAACGCTTGCGGTGACGAGGAGGCACATGCAGTCCATGCCAGCTCCGGTGAGGTTCTTGAGCTGGTCGCAGCAGTCTGCCGTTGGGGAAGAGCCCGCGGCGGAGCTGTTTGTGAGGAAGTTCATGCAAGGGGTGAGGCCTGCGATGGCTGTGGCCGAGCACGGGGTGGTGATCTGGCCATTGGAGGTTGAGATCAGGAAGGCTAGTGCTAGTGAAGCCACCATGGAAATGAGAAGCACAAGGGAACAGGGCTTGAAAGATGCCATGTGATATCTTGGAAGGGGAAGACAGGATTGGGAGTTCAAGTGTTGAAGGTTTTGTATGTTTGTTTTGGTTTGGTTTGGATTGGATTAGAGAAAAGGGAGAATTTATAGTTTGGGAGTTTGTTACTTGTGAAAGGGGGAAATAGGAGGGAAAGAAGGATGAGAGGGTTTGGTGTTTGAAGCTCAACTACCTTAACTAGATTCATAGTGTAAGGGGAGAATTTGGAAAGTGGCCATGTGGCATCTTCTGGAGACCATTATTGATTTGTCATCTACTTATTGGATTTGGGCCTTCTTCCCCATGACATTTAGCAAGCCCACAAGTTAATGATGTTAGAAATTTCATGTGTTTGGAGATTAGATAGTTGACAATAGGATTAGCATCTCCATTTTAGACTAGTCTAAGTAGTTAGCTAGTAGGTGAGGTCGGATAATGCTTATGCAAAGTATATGTTAATGTAGATTGACTTACTAATATATGTTATTTGAAGAAAATACTTTTGAAATGAAAAATAGAGAACAATATAAGTGGCGTAGTGTACTAATTCGAAGAATGATGACTTGGGCTCTCGCCCAGGCCGATGTCATTAAATTTTAACAAGCAATAGACAAGAAGTTAAAAATTTGATAAACATACAAAATACTAAACACAACAATGTTACAACAAGGCGAAAATATAGTTCGATGAAATAGGTGAGTAAGGGGCGAAAGTAATATTCATATCCTATCAACATTGTTACATTGCGTTCAATAACTCAAGACACAAATCAAGTGTCTCATATCAAAATTATTATTTTCAATCTCAAACTTCTATCGAGACGAAATTGATATCTTGATTAAGCATCCTCACGAATCAAATACATTGGATATTTTTATATTAGTCTTCTTAACTAGAATTGATCAAACTTGAATAATAAATAAAACAAGAAAATGGTTGATCAACGTACTCCAAGGTTATTCATAGAAAGTGACATACTGGTAACCTGCAAATTTCTTCTAACAATCACATTTAAAATTCTCTTCTATTGAAGATATCGTTTAGGACTTTGCTACGGTGACATGCATGTCACGGTGACATGCACTTTTCGGTCGACCTCATATAGGATTAGGTCGACCTAATCTGTTGTTTCAGTGGAAAAACAGTTTCATGGTGTCTACTTTGGAGATTCATATCTTACAATTGGCTAAATGGAAATTGGAGATTAAAGGCTTGTTTTGAAGCTGAAGTGTCCCTCTACACATTAAAGTACTTGGGAGCTCAATAGCAAGTCCAGAAGACCATTTTTGAACCTGACCAAAAGGTTATGCAAAAACTGGGAAACTGCCTGAAAATGGCCAAGTCTAGCAACGTGTTTGTCAAGCCTACTTTGGAGCTCAATTTGAAAAGCATGGATGCGAGTCAAGTCCAGGGGCCTCTACCACGTTAAATTACGTATTTTTTTTTATACAGAGGCAAGGAATTGGATGAAAGATTGAATATCTTTAAGGCTTCAAACAAAAGGCTCGAAGTTGCTACGAAGGCTGTTTTTCTGGCAGCTTGCTTGTGCTCGAAGTCTGCCAGAAAAACAGCCTTCGTAGCAACTACGACCCTTTTGTTTGAAGCCTTACAGATATCCAATATTTCATCCAATGCCTTGAATTTGTATAAAAACATACCTAATTTAACGTGGTAGAGGCTCCTAGACTCGACTCGCTTTCATGCTTCTTGAATTGAGCTCCAAAATAGGCTTCACAAAAACGTTTCCAGACTTAGCCATTTCTAGGCAGTTTCCCAGTTTTGGCATAGCCTTTTGATGAGGTTCAAAAATGGTCTTCTGGACTTCCTATCGAGCTCTCAATCACTTCAATATGTAGAGTGACACTCTAGCTTCAAAACAAGTCATTAGTCTTCAATTTCCATCTAGTCAATTGTATGATATGAATATCCAAAGTAGACACCATGAACTGTTTTTATACTGAAACAACAGATTAGGTCGACCGAATTCTAAATGAGGTCGACCTAATCCTAACTGAGATCGACCGGAAAATGCAAATCACCATGACATGCATGTCACCGTAGGCACACCTATAAGAATGCCATGACAAATGACATCCGAGTATTGGTTATATACTAACTTCACTTATACACCTATAAAGCAACGTGTTCATGGTTCACCTATAATGCCACGCAAATGTGCTACTCTTCAATGTCTTGAACATCAATCGCAAAAGATTAGAAGCTGCTGTATTCTAATAAATAAATAAATAAATAAAAAGAAAAATTAGAAGCTACTAGCTAGCCAAGATAAGAAAATATATTTGGGTTCCGACTTCACTTGCTCCCACCCATGACTTTTGAACTTGGTTACCTACCAATAAAGAAATTAAAGGAGAATTGAAATGGCTGGTTGAGTGAGTTAATGGTTAAAGTGTTGTATTTGCTCACAAATAATTCATAATTTGTGAACTAGCATTGAGCCCGGCTAGTTCTTCGGGTAATGTATAAAATAGTCCGGCCATTATGAATGCACATTATTGAGCAATTCAATAAGAGGTCTCAGATCGAGTCAATTTTCATATAACTTTTTTAGATGATATGGTCAGTAGGTGAAAGTTTACCTCCAATCTAATTATTTATCATTTCTCTGCTTGAAGTTTATACTATTAGGTTTTTTTATGACTTTCGTCATAAGCTTTATGACTCCTTGAGCTGTGTTATACAATACTAGAGGGATAAGGACGCACTTGAATAAAAAGTTCACTAACGAGTTATTTCAAAATAACACCCTCTATGTAGTTATTTGAAATAACTCATGTTCTAAATACCGCATTCCAACTTTATTTATTCAAATGAATTATTTTAGTTCAAATAACTCACAGTGATTTATTTGAACCAAATCCAAGTAACTCATTCAAACAACCTATAAAAATCCCTAATCTCTTTAGACCGACATCCCAGAGTTTGTCGAGTATCTATGGGGCTGGCGTTTAACGTCGCAAGATTGATTTCTCCTCGTATAAAAAAAGAAAAAAAAGATAGTTTTAGTAAGTTGAGAAAATATTAAGTAACCATGTCATTGAACAACAATCGGACTATAGCATTAGCAAGCTGGAAGCCTGGAACTTCGGGTTGGCTCTAGTCCTTAAGCCTAAAAGTTAAGGAGTTTCTTAAATTTTCGTTAGCCAATAAGAAGAGGAGAGAGAAAATTTGCGTCTAACTACCTAAAAGGATAAATAAGGTATTTTGATAAAATAATTAATGTAATAATTAACAAAAATTGAGGAAAGAAATTGAACATTGCCGCATGCATTCCCCTTCCCTACCCACGCAAATTAAGGAGAAAATTAGGTCTTTCAGCAATCACGCTTTCATAAGACGTTCCGTTGGATGGTCCTTGAGAGTTTGTGATAGGTCTGTCAATAATGATCTTTCAAATATTCTAAACTATTGTAGAAAACGTTAATAATAATTGCAGTATATTGTTAATAATATATGACATAAACATTGATAACGTTATATTAAATTGCTCTCATCGGTTGTCTAAAAAGCCTTATAAGTTTTGATAACATTATGTTTCAATCTTACCAATTATTTAAAAATGTTAATAATATTGATGAAATGTTGATAATATAACTGTATATTGCTAATGATACCTGGTGTAAACGTTGATAATGTTACAATACATAGTTAACGTATGTCTAAGAAAATGTTTATAGTGTAAGCATTGATAATGTAATGCCTCAATCTTAACAAAAAATTTAAAAATGTTAACAATATAGAAAATAGTGACTATTAATGGCTAAAGAAACTATTTAGTAAACGTTGATAATATGACTGTATATTGTTAATAATGCCTCACATAAAAGTTGATAATGTTACATTACATTGTTAACAACTGTCTAAAAATGTTAATAGTTTGAGCTTTGATAACGTTATGTTTCAATATTAACAAAAAAAAATTTAAAATCTTTGACAATCTAGAAAATGTTGATTGTTCACAATCAAAATAATTATTTTGGAAACGTTAATAATATGACTGTATATCGTTAATGATATCCCACATAAATGTTGATAACCTTACATCACATTGTTAACAATTGTCTACAAAACGTTAATATTATTAGCTTTGATACCATTATGTTTGAATCTTTACAATTTTTTTAAAATAATTAATAATTAGAAAAATGGTTATAGTTAATAGCCAAATAATTATTTTGGAAACGTTGATAATAATGTGGTATATTGTGGATAGTTTAAAGCATAAGTATTGATAATGTCTTGTAATTGCTAAATAGGAATGAACATTAAAACATTAATAATTAGAATGCAAACCTTAATAATGATAGTGCATAATATCTCTTTTATTATCGAAAACTCGCCAAGCAAGCAACAACTGAACCAATATGACAACAAGGACAGTATTCAAACAATGCTCGTGAACGTTATTATATAAGGACCTTCAAATGATAAGATTTGGAACCCACCAACGTTGAGTCTTCAAAGCCGCGGGAAGATTTGGAACTCGCAACGTGAAACATCTCCGCTCAAGACGACGGCAGGGTGCAACGCTGACCCTTGGGAGCTCGAAGTCGACGATGGGAAATTTCTCCGCTCAGGACGATGACGGGCTGCAAGTCTGCAACTCCGACCCTTGGAAGCTCGAGCTCAACAACAGGTAGCATCTCCGTTCATGACGACGGCAGGATGCAACGTTGACCCTTGGAGCTCGAGCTCAACGACGGGAAACTTCTTCGCTCCTGACGACGACAGGCTGCAACACCAACGGGAAGCTTGAGAAATGAAAATTGTAAACTAACGTAAAGATACATTGACCCCGCCGGCAGTATAAAGTAACTGAAAAGGAAATATTGAAAACCTAAATAAAATACCCTATTTTATCCTTAATAATTACTAACTACTAAATAACCGTAAACTATTTTACAACTAACCCAGATTAATCTAATGGATGTTATTCACTTAAGAAACTTCTTAAGGTTTGGGCCTTAAGGACCTGAACCTAGGCCCTGGTATTTCTCAAACTGGGCTTCGGCTTTGTGCAAAGATTGGGCTCCGAAAATGGGCTATAATAGTTGGA